GGCCATGTAGTGTAGCGGCGGGGGTAAAAAGAGCGTGTAAGCTTAGGTGGGGTAGAAGGCGTGTAAGTGTAACGCGTAGAGGCGCTGTAAGTGTAACGCGGTAGAGCGTGTAGTGTACGCGAGGTAAGAGTTGTGTAGTGTACGCGGGTAGAGTGCGTGTAGTGTCCCACGCGGGTAGAGGCGTGTAGTGGTAGCGGGTAGAGGCGTGTAGTGTAACGACGGGGTAGAGGCGTGTAGTGTAGCGTGTCGAGGCATGTAGTTACGCGGTAGAAGCGTGTAAGCTTCAGGTGGGTAGAGGCTGTAGTGTAGCCGGGTAAGGAGACTGTATGTACGCGGGTGAGGCGTGTTAGTGTATAACGCGGGTAGAGGCGTGGTAGTGTACGCGGGTAAGAGGCGTGTAGTGTACGCGGGTTAGAGTTGTGTAGTGGTACGCGGTAAGAGGCGGTAAGTGTACGCGGTAGAGGCGTGTAGTGTACGCGGGTAGAGTTGTGTAAGTGTACGCGGGCACGCCTCTCCCCGCGTACACTACACGCCTCTACCCGCGTACACTACACGCCTCTACCCGCGTACACTACACGCCTCTACCCGCGTACACTACACGCCTCTACCCGCGTACACTACACGCCTCTACCCGCGTACACTACACAACTCTACCCGCGTACACTACACGCCTCTACCCGCGTACACTACACGCCTCTACCCGCGTACACTACACGCATCTACTCGCGTACACTACACACCTCTACCCACGTACACACAACTCTACCCGCGTACACTACACACCCTACCGGCGTACACGACACGCCTTTACCCGCGCACACTACACACCCTACCCGCGTACACTACATGCCTATACCCACGTATACTACACGACTTTGCCCGCGTAAAAGACTCGGTGTGGAATACGGTGGCCATCACGACATCGTTAAAATGGCATGTCTGTTTATCCGATAATAGGCATGTTTATTCACGGTCGCGTATGTGCATGCATATAATGCGTACGCTGCATACACGCACGTGCGCAAGCGTACACACAAGCAGGCACACATCTGCACGCACACGCGCGTACGCACACACCCGTATACACAGGCACGCTCATGCAAACACGGAAGCCAACACGGTCATATGATTTCATTATCCCATCACACGCAATGCATTAACAGCTCGAACGTGGGAGCGGCGCCTGAAAATTATTTTGTCTTATTCGCGAGCGCGAAAACATGAAACTATGTAAATTCCCTCAAAATAACCCAGCAAGCGTAGGACACTATTGCTCACCGGATATACGCGGATGACAATGCTACTTCTATGAAACTCGCTAACAACGCGGCGAATCTATTAGAAATTCAGAGATCCCGGATTAGAGAACTCCGCCTGTGCATTATTAACTCTCACTTATTTGAGAAGACAGGCGATATACACTGTCAGCTGGTCTCGTTAACGAATGCTGTGCCGCGATCTGTCGGGGATAAATATTTGCCGTTATAGACTAATCCTTGTTTTAATTAATACGTTCTCTTTCGATTACGAATTTGTGTCTCCTGTGCTCGGAATAACGACGTGGGCATCACAGGCACTTGGACCGTTTCAATAATAAAATGATGGTTAATAAATACAACTTGTCAGTACTACTACTAGACCTACCAGTACCAGTAATAGTCTTTCTCTTAATGTTTGATTTGACCTAATAACTTCACTTCAATACCGTCCAATACACCGCTGCAACACATAGCGCGCACGCCATTGTGCATGCACAAATACACAGTAATATAGAGTACTACTATATATACTACTCTATATTACTCTATATTTATATATTAATGCCTGCTGTTGGGGGCACTATGAGAGCATAGTGCCCCCAACAACAGGCATT